AGACAGATTCAATAATTAATTCTGGATAGAGTGTGACTTCATAAGTGATAGGCTTGAAATCAGAGGCTTGAGGTTTTACTTATACACTTTTCACAGCTTCTGATAATTGTCATGATTCATATCTAGTTTCTTTTTTATATCTTTTGTATAATTTGATACGAATCTTATCTGTCAAAACGCTTGGTAACCCATTTAATTTGACATGTAAATCCAGATATTTAGGAGTTAATATTTTATCAGATTTGGTCATGTTGCTTTTTATATGAATTAATTTAAATTTAATTAGGTAGTAGTTGACCTGTAAAAAAATATCACATAATGAAATGTGAGCAAATGTAGTATTATAAAATAATAAGACTATGCAGTTATCTCAATTTTGCGCTGTTCACATTTAATAAAATAGGATCTGGTCTTATATCTACCTTCTATGCTTTCTTCATCACCATGATCTAACTTGCACAATAGGCATAATGTCTTGTCAGTAATTTCATAATAATCAAAATTTTCGCTACTAAATTCTCTATATAAAGTAGGATATTGATTCAATGTTTTATTGCAAAAATAGGCTCAGTCATAAGTTGAATTAGTCATAGGAATTGATACAGGTAATACACTTACTTGAGGTATGGCTAGTGAAATCATTTGTACTAATCCAGTTCTAGAGGAATTACTTAAAGAATTAGAGTTATGAGTTGAAGGAATAGATGCACTTATCTGATCATTCTTAGTTTTTGGTGAAATATTCTTAGGCAAATTTTTTCCAGAACATAATGTCTTAGAAATTTCAGTTACATGATTTATTACCAAAGGTAACTTTTCTGAAGATATTTCATAATCTATAACCTCTTGAATTTGTTCATTAGTAAGCTCTGAAATAGAAGTTACACTATAAGATTTAATATACTTGATTTTATTTAAGCTCACTCATTCGATAAATTTATAGACTTTCTTTGCTTTCTGAATTTTCTTGTGCAAACTATCTTGTGATACATCTCGAAGTTGTAACCCTATTTCTTGGGATCTCTGTTTACGAAGCAAATTAAGCCGTTTTGTAATGGAATCATATATATAGTAAGCCTCTTGCCTTCTTTTCACCAAATTTACCTCTACTACTTTATATAATTCCATTAAGCTAAATTATGAAATCTTTCGCATAGAGACACCAGCATAAAATTCTTCCTGATTAGCTCGATTTGTTTTATTTTCAGCATCAAAAGCTTTATCATATAACTAAGCTAGATGTTGTAGGACCTCATTAATGCTAGATTTATCAGAAGTAACTTTTTTGTAACATAATGTCTCAGAAATTTCGATTATATGATTTTATTCTATTGATAGCTCTTGTGAAAATAACTCTGAAGCAAATAATTCTTGCTTAAGCTTATTAACACTCTTTCCCTTCTCTTCTAAAGATACTTTCTCGTCATCTAAATTAGTTGATGCTTCTGATGATGTGCCATTGCATAGCTGAATAATTGAGTTGAGAACTTGAGGTCTCTGGTCCCTTTGGATCCTATTATAAGAGACTCTTGAGCTTGAAGTTTCTTCTACTTATTGTGTTGTCTAATCTCATTACTAATTTTTTTCTTATGCATTTCATTCAAGAAAACATCTGTTTCCTTATCTTTTAAGGATGTCTGATCATGTTGATCTATAACAGATATATTAACAGCTGATACTGATTGCTTTACAATCACCTCTGGAATTGATTTTTCGGGTAATGAAGTATCTATTTTTACTGTCATTAGAAGAATTATCATTATGCAACTGCTTTTGTTCTACTTTTGTGATTCTATCTCTAAACTCAGCATTCTCAAACTCAAGTTTAGTAGTAACTGTCTTATTTTTCTCTTGTTTTTTGATTCTGGCCTTAAATTCAGCATTCTCAACATCGCATCTTTTACTCTCTTTCACATCCTGTCTTAGAAGCTCGGCAATTCTGGCATTAAGCTCAGCCTCAGAATTAGTTTTCTTAATCTCAAAATCAGCAAACTTTCTTTTAAATGAGACATTCTTGGTAGTAAGCTCATTATTACATTGCTTCAATAATTCTTGCTCAGTTAACATGATCTATAACTAATACACTGTATATGAGAATTCAAAATAAAAAATCATATGATTTTTCTTATCTAAGGTAAATGAAATTTTGCCAAGAAAATTTTTTATTATTACAATACGAAAATAAATACATAGATCAGAACATAGCCAGTGATACATATTATTTTTTGATAAATTTTTTGATATTAGCCTTTTTGCTAGCTGGGAAACTATCAACACTAACACGATCCTTTAGCAATCTAATAATAATATTAATTATCCTTTTTACATTGCTTCAAAATAATTCAGGATTTTCTTTAACAGCGGATTTCGTAAGATTAATCTGATGCTCACTAGTGCTTATAGAGTAAATACTATCTGAAGTGTATATAATAATATGCCATTTCATACTATAGTCACAATACTATAGATGTAATTAAAATAATCATTTCCAAATGCCTGATCTGCAATACATTTTTTTTATTTGTCTGAAATGTGCTCTCAAGTTGCATCAGATTCTAAAAGATAAAACGTGTTAATATTATGAAATCTTTAAAATATAATCTGAGTAGTAAACCTATTTGGGCATATCCAATCTTAATATTGCGTAATTTCCCTTAGCAACACATAGGAGGTCTTCCAAACTTTTGAACGTGTAATCTACTCGACCTGTTGCATCTTCACTAGAAACTTTCTTTTGTAAAACTATGAATATCTTGAGAGATGAGATTTTAGTTATAGCAATGGATATATGAAAAATTGATAAAATAAATTTATAATGAATCGCCTTATTGACATTAGTCATGGTTTTCACGTTCAAAAGTTTTAAAATAATATCATCCATATAATAATTAAGCACCTTCTTTACAGAAACTTATGATTTTATTAAATATGTTAAAAATATTTTTAAAATCTAATGAACATATTACATGTAAATTCTGTTAAGTCTCTTATAACTTGCTAGTTACAATCTATTAAAAATATGTTAAAAATATTTTAAATAAATGTGACAAAAATCTGTTTAACATATATTAACAATATATTTATTAAAATATCAATAAATATGATAAAAGTCAATTTATCATAAATCAATAATATTTTTAAACGCTATAATATAATAAAAATACTTTTGAAATATATTAACAATATTTATTAATATTATATCTATATATCCATCATATTTTATATATATATATAATCTAAATATCCCAACTCTATATTGCATTATAATAAAACTCATTAAAAATATAACATCTATTGGTTTTATCATGCTTGATATCCCAATTCCTTCCACATCTATGTATAAAATGTACATATGAATGTGATCAATATAATTAATTGGAAAAATGCGTAACCATTATGATTCTTTAGGTTTTTGAATGTTATAAAATAGACATTCTAATATAAGATCAATGGTATTTATTGCTTGAAACTAATCAAATAAAAAAAATGTATAATATTGATTGTTATTTGCTTGGTATTAAAAAATTAAGTTAATTTTAGCATAAGTGATACCTTTGGATTCTTCAGATAATTCTACAATATTACCAACATGAACATTTAGTCAAATAGGATCCTGTTTATCTTCAAGAATAGTATATGCAATAGAATTATAAAAATCCACCTTTCTATTCAATAATGCAGCTCTTAATTCAAAATGCTCCAAATATGACTTAGAAAGATTCTGAAAAAGTGGATGTTTATCATCTAATCTTTTTGATAGACCCATACTTTTAATTTTTTTGATAGTCCATTAATTGCTAAGTATAATATTAATGAAATTTTTATCTTGACATGCAATAATTTTGATATCTATTGAAAAAAATCTCATAAATTAGTAAAACAAAACAAAATTTTATTAATGAATAAAAGAAACTTACTATCATTTTCATCTTTGAATTCCTGTTCACTCATAAATGTATGTGGATTTTCAGTAACATACCAGTCTAATAATATTAGGCAAAGGTTTGGATCTATAATCAAATACTAAATATATTGGTATTTGTGTCAAAATGAGGATCCATTAAACCATCGATAATGTATCTTAATATCTGTATTATGTTGTACCTTCGGGTAAGATCCACTTCAATTACTTTATGATTTGTGTGTGGTACCATACCCTTGAATGTGCGATGAACCATTTCTTTCACACCAATAGCCGTATTTATAAGTGTTCTGAAATTACGAGTATGCTGTGGAAGATAAACATTTATATGCAAATTAGGTAAGTTTCAAAATTCTCTGAAAATAACTAAGACACATATTAGTAAAATTATTACAATTTATAAAACATAATCTCAACTTACTAGTATTAGCATTTCACGTTCTCTCATAAGTGATTCTTGTAATTTATGGTAAGTAATTTCCATCATGGTAGTTGAAAATGCAATTTTCAACACTTTAGTTTCAACAGACCAGACAATACACAACTGAGATATAGCTGTAGTTTGTATCATTCCATGCTTTGTATACCATTTATTTAAGACCTCCGCTTTTATATGGCAAGGTTTTTAAAAATGTCGAATTATAAATAGCATTAACATTGTAAGCCTCAACACATCAGAAAACATAAAACTTTGGTGATATCACAATGGATTCGGCATACAGTTCCAATGGGATGGTTTTTCAATATTTCTCTAATGTTCTATAAAAGCCTTTTCACCAGTTACATTGAGTATGCTAAATGTAGCTTCTAATAAAGTATGTGCTTTTCCAGCCATAGAATGGTATGCATCCTGTGGTATCTAGATGTATCGATCCCATTTAAGTAAATTAAAAGATCCTTGTGTCACTAATCTGTATTCAGTGGCTAGTCATTTCTTAGCAGCTTTTGTATATTGACTATCAATCTCTAAAAATTGTTCTTCTGTATTATAATGAAAACGCGCATTTCTTATATAGTCATAACTCAGGTTAGAAAGTTGATCGTTTATAATATTACACATTTGACAATCATAGATAATACCATGTCATTTCACACCTATCAAGTCATTACCTTGTGGTAGGTCAGCTGTGATGCAGCCAATACTACCTATAATTCAAGCATCACTATATATTGTTTGCATGATGAGGCCATTTTCTAAACGTTTTATTTCTTCAAGCACTTGTTTAATGAAGTCATCAAAATTCGCCTCCAAATGAAACAAATTCAATTAGAAAACTATTCTTAAGTAGCTTTCGAAAAGACAATTACATATTTCTAAACTGCAAATACACGCCTCCTAAAGAATGGTACACATTTTTATAAATGCTGAAATCATCAACATAAATGTCAAAAAAATCTTTAGAACAGGTATATTTTATGGTGGTGGCTTAAGCTTAACATATTCACAAAGTAGTCAATGCCTCTTTAATATATCATGATATTTCTATCGACCACCAAAATAATACAATATTTTTTGGATATAAAATTCGTATTTTACAGGTTCTGACTGGTTACATAACCATACAACAATACACCAATCTATATTTCTCAAGTTGATCAAATTCATTTCTCCTTCAATAAGTTATACCTCTTTTTCATTTCTACAGAAACGTCAGCTATTACTGGAATAGTGATTAGGAAGTTTTTGATGCATTAATATTTGATCAACCTTTAATTTGATTGTCTTATCCATTTTATCCAAAATTATACTATATACACAGCATATAAACGTTGATGATTGGTTATGACAGATCAAGAAGTCACCAGCGTTATAGGACTCTAATGAAAAGATAAGTTATTATTTCTTTTTTAAAAGGTTTTGCAAAAGTATTACTAATCTTCATTATTGTTTCTTATTTCATATTCCCCGAATAACAGTGAATCTTGCACAGATCATCATACCAAAATTCGCGCTTCTCCTTTGCAATTATTCTGGGTTCAAAGTACATTTTTGGTATGAGTGAAGGATTGTTCAACACACACTCCAAATGCATTAAAGGAGATATGCTAAATGCTTTCTTAGTAAACGCTAATATAGATGAAGTTTGTTGCTTACAAAGGGATACATTGTGTTTATGTATCCTAACCAGAGAAAGTCTATTTCTCCATTTACGAATATGTCGTATGTTTGTAGTGATATTATCTTTGCAAAACTCAGGATGTGTAAAGATTCTAGTAAGGTCTTTATATGTAGAAGTCGCTATATAATTAGACAAGTATTGTATAAATGTAGATGATATATCATATAAACAATGTAAATACAAATTACTTTGCATTACTTATATATCATATGTTTGGTAATCCAGATAAATATCATTGCTGATGTAAAATTTGAAAAATATGAACCATATTCACATTCAAACTCTTCAAAATCAGAAGAGTCTTCCAACTAAAGATGGGAACAGTAATTAATATGTTGCAACTTTTAATGTTGCAACTTACGTTGCAATTAGTTTTAACCTATATATGTTGCAACTAATTTTAGCTTATATTGCAACATTTTGTAAATTTGAAATCAATTGCTGTACCATCTTTACTTCCAACACATCATCGTCTACTGGAATTTCTTCTATAACGTTGAGTAACAGTCTATGTGAGAGATCTTGAAATATTCATTAGGATAGATAGTTTAAAAATTAACGACTATATATTTAACTTACCAGAATCATACACATTATCGTAAATGTTATCTATATACAAGAAGTCATTTATAACCTCATTGTCAAGCTCTTCCTCAAGACCCTTTGAATTATTTATAATGAAAAACGATATAATGATTTCAAACTTGATAAATAAATATGTATATGTATAAATATGTGTTACTGTTAACAAGTTATCGCTTCTATCATCAATTAAGTTCTCACTTTTATCATCGACTAGAAATGGTAGAACTTCCATTAGTAAGTTGTCATTCTCATCGATCAAATTTTCGTCTTCATCATCGCCCCTATCATCTTTATTGATTAAAAATTATAAGTCTTGTTTATCAATAAAAGTTTCATTATCTTCTAATGCTAAAGGCAACAATTCCATTTTTTCATAGTTTTGCTGTCATTTAAAAGCAGTTGCAGTGATACGTAACTTTGGAATATATATGTAAGTATAATTGGTTCTCCTTGAACGTTTCATGATTATCAGAATTAAAGTGAAAAAAATAAAAAAAAATAAAAAATACAAAGTCAAATAAAAAAAATATGAAGTATAAAAATGATCAGAAGTTTCCAGTATAGTAAAGTCTATTGTCTTCCATAAATAGAAATATTAATCTATAAAAAAATTAAGTGCAAAGTGGTCAGATGATCATGAGTCTAATTTAACGAATAAAACATATACAGTTGTAAAGTCAACAATTTCATTAATCAAGGCGCAGCAATACAAAAGGAAATGATCAACAATATTCAGTAAAAAGTCACAAGAAAAAGTCATATGATAAAAGAGAAATGATCATTTTATTAAGAGAAAAAGAATAATACTCAGATAAATTACAGATCGAAAAGAAAGATTACACAAAACGAATAAATCACAGAAGAAAATGATTTGGATAAATTAGTTACCAAAAGAAAAATGCTAATTAATTAACCGAACGGGAGGTCAAGGAAAAAGGATAATTAATCAACCGGACGGAGGGTCTTATAAAAAGACTTGAAAAAAATATTTGAAAAATAACAATTGAAGAAGTTATATGAGGATGCAAGAAGGTTATACAAATGCACATTCATTGGGAATGACAAACTAGACCTCATGGAAGCTTGTATAACATAAATGTTACACGTGATATAATAAACGAAACAGAAATCAGAAGAAGAATGAAAGTTAGTAGTGATACGAAGTATGGAAGAAAGACAGAAGTCCAAAAAAGTAAGAAGGAAAAATTAATATTAAAACGTTAAATAATTATAAGGAAAACAAATGAGAATTAATATAACAGAAGTAAGAATAACATAACAGAAGTAAAAGTAATATAACAGAAGTATAAATTAATATAATGGAATGAAATTAAAAAGTAAACAGTAAACAATAAATAGTAAACAAATACAAATACAGAATTTAGTAATGAACAATGGAAAATTAGGAATAATAGTAAATATAGAAATCATATATAGAAAATCATGTAGTAAAAA